AGATTTCTAGAGACCAAAATATTTATAAAGCCTTGCTCTAGCAGCTGGCCAGAAATAGGGGGGGAGTGCATGTACACGGAGCGGCACCTCTGTGCCCTTATCTAAAATTCACTGAGACTGGGGAAAGGGTCTCACTGATTTTACTGGACTGTGAACCTGATCCCAGAGCATCCTACACCATCATTTGAAATTATATTCACACCCTTGCCAACACACAGTTTTCTAAAAGACCAGGTCAGTCACCACGAGACTAATGACCTTCTGTATTAACACAGTACTTTAAGAGGAAAAACAAGCAAGAAACTCAGATTCTGAGTTAAGCTTTGCACAATATGAGGGACAACATGCCAAAAGACATGTAGAAGTTTCACTGAATTCAGTTCAGTGAAAATTTCATACTTGTTTATTCTGTGGGAAGGACTACAGTCAGGTAAAGTAAAAAGAGCATAATTAAAACATAAGACATCTCCAACTTTAAGTCCCTTTGTAGCTTCATGCCAGTGCATACACAGCAGAATGAGGCAGGAGAGCAAAACAGACTCATCTTTACCAGTCATATCAATTTAACAAGAACATACAGAAAATCCAACAGAATGTATTACACAACAACAGTAATCATCATTTTACTTTGTAAAACTTCTTAAGCAAATGTTTCAAGCAAATGTATTTCCTACAATGTTTGAAAAGCAAATTTATCTGAATACAGTCAAACCCCATGCCACAGAGTACTGCAAAGCAGCTAGACACTGTTCTAGTACTTACCCATTTGGCTAGAGCTTCTTTGATAGTTGTTGCTTTGGCCTAAAAATGAAACAAATTTAAATGAATATTCATTGCAAATTTATAATTGGCTTGTTCACTGCAAACCTATTTCCTCTCCCTTCTCTCTCCCTATCCTGCTTGTCTATCCCCTTCTACCACTTCCTTGTATTGCCTTGTGTCAGCTGAGTTGAAGAAGCTGGAAACCCTCAGTGTCCTATAAATTTGTTTTCTGAGGTACTTGGCAGCATTTTCAGAAGCAAATGATGGGCTTAATGTCAGGACATTATCTTCCTGGTCTTACTCTCTGCCCCATGGGACATTGCTTGTTAGCTCTGATGGTGAAATTCAATTCAAAAGCATAAGAAACCACTGCACTGAAAATTGTGGTCTAATGCTCTTAAACCCTCACATTTTCTATTGTGCATTAGCAACTTCCCGTTTGAAAGCAAGTCTGTGAGCACACAGAATGATACAGCTTCTTCAGATTCACTGAGAAAAATGAGGTACATCTTGCCAAAACTAAAGAGCAATCTGGATTGTTTATATTTGGTGTTTCTTTCCAATTGCTTTGCATAGAGTTGCATCATATGATGTGAAAACATGTATTATTCAGTTTGAAAAATCTGAGAGCTGCTGTACAAGGCTTTTTAGGGACTGACCCACTGACCAACTTTCTGTTGTCACTAACTCCAACTTTTCTATCTCACATCAGAGTCTTATAAAACCACATGAAGACATCCAAAACAGTAGTATATAAACAACATATTTAATGCTTCTCTAAACACTAAACATATTACAAGATGTCTTTTGGATTAAAAAGGTTTCAGAGACCAATCTTTCACAAACACTGATCAACAGCCTCCTTTGTACAAATATAGAAGGACTCTAGTTTTGGCATCTCTGTTGCTCTTATGTGTAGCACTACCATGTGTGGATAAAAGCAGTCTTTAAGGTAATCAGATAAAAAAAAAAACCCTTCAGTAAAAGTTAAACCCAACAAACTAACTTCCACCCAAAATCTTACAGGCAACCACCTCAACCACAGAGCTCTAGTGCTGGGTACTTTACTCTGGACCACTGGAAACACTGGTCTCAGGGCAAAAGACAATAGCTGAGGCAGCTGCATATAAAAAATGGCCAAAGCCACTGAACACCCAGCAACCACCAAGACCCAGCAGCACCAGGGAGCCTGAGCATGCACCTCAATCACCAATATACACCTTTACTTAGACATGTATCACTGTGCATCCTCAGATGTTCCAGCTGCTTCTGCCCATTGACAAGTATTTGTTTCTGGTCTATACCAACTGACAGCTAGCTCATGGTCCCATTGGAGATGACCTGGCAAACTTGTGCCAGGCAGCATCTCCTCAGTGTCTGCCACAGATAAACAGCTGCATGACCTCTTCCTGTTCAGAAAATCACATCCCTAATTCCCATTCCAATAGCCTCATGCAATCCAATTAACAGCTACCAGTGTGCCAGCAAAAACAAGGGGCTTCCAGCTAACTGGGTTTTCTGGACAGAACTTCATTACTGCTTTTGTAATTATGGCAGTAAATCAGTACAGCACTTGGGTACGTGATCTTGGTCACTCATGTTGAAGACAGAAATGGATTTACATGACCAATATCTGCTTCCATTTCTAAGTCATGCCTAAAAACGGATTGGATCCATCTGAGCACAAGAAGCAGTTTCTCTCCTGACCTCTGCTGACTTATCTCTGCTGAGTTGCTGGAAACATGGACATCAGCACAGCGGGTTATTTGGAGAACACATGTCAGAGATTTCATTCTCTTTGAGGTGTACTTGAAATTTCTGTAGATAAATAAGAGTATCTTCTGCCAAGCAAGATTACCTAAAGGAAACTTCCCTCCGAGCAGCTTATTTTCAGGGCTTCTCTACCTGCATATTGAACAATTTTATACAGGTATTTAGACTAAAGAAAATCATAATACTTAAAATACTCAAAATGCCAAGTGATCAATTGTCACCCTGAAGAGTCGCCATCAACACGGCAGGAACAAGAAACAGAATACCTTAAGGGGAAAAAATAACCACACTTGTATTACAATAGTTATAACAAGAAGTATTTCCCCTCCCTAAACATGGCAGATGGACACAGACTATTTACAAAATTTAGTGCCCCAGGAAAAAGCAAAACAGCGACACTTCGCCTTAATTTGCAAACATTTATTTATATGTTCAATAGAGGAAATCGGAATTGCACAGCAACCGACAACAAGCTAATCGCTGTAGTGATCGCAGACACTGCTGCCTTAAAAACGCTGAGGTTTGTGTACGATGACATCTCAGACTCCCCGCTTCTTTCGCCTATCCCGAAATGCCCCTTTCCCAAGGCACAGCATCAGGCCACCACGCCTCAGCCGCCGCCCCGAGCCCCGCGCTGCCCCCCGGACAGCTCACGTCGAACCCAGGTTGCTCGGCAGGGCCCGGCCGCGGAGGGCTCCGCCACCGCCACCGCCGGCCCAGGGACCGCTGGGCAGCGGCCCCGGGGGGACGCCGCTCACACACCACCCGCGGCACCAGCCCCGCGCCGCCGGTCCCGGTCCGTCCCGCGCCCCCCCAGCCGCCGGCGGGCCGCGGTGCCGCCCGGCCGCCCCCGCCGCAGGACCCACCATGGTGCCGTTGCTACCGCGAACGCTCCGGTTGCTACGGGCGCGGGAACGCCCCGGCCCGGAACTCGCGTCGGGGGCGGCGGCCGCGGCGCCTTGTGGGACGCGATGGGGGGCGGGGGGCCATGCGGGCCCGGCCCGGGGAAGGCGACAGCCCCCACGGGCCGCTGTGAGACCTCCCAGAGGTGGCCGGTGCAGCTAATCCAGCCCCCCGAGTACTAGTCCCAATGGAATGTGACGGGAGCTTTGCCTGGCAAGGAATTACTCTGTCCAGTACTGGGTTCTTCAGTACAAGAAAGAAAAGGAGCTACTGGAGAAGGTTCAGAGGAGAGCCATAAAGATGATTAGAGGTCTGGAACATCTCTCTTATGAGGAGAGACTGCAGGACCTGAGCCTGAATTGTCTAGAGATGAGAAGACCGAGAGAGGATCTCATCAATGGCCTATAAGTATCTCAAAGGTGGGTGTCAAGAGAATGGTATCCAGTGACAATGGCCACAAACTGAAACAGAAGAAGTTGCATCTCAACACGAGGAAGAACTTCTTTACTTTGAGGGTGGCAGAGCACTGGCACAGGCTGCCCAGGGAGGTCATGGAGTTTCCCTCTCTGGAGACATTCAGAATCCACCTGGACATATTCCTGTGTATCCTACTCTGGGTGACCCCTTCTTGGCAGGGCAGTTGGACTAGATCATGTCCAGAGGTCTCTTTCAATCCTAACAATTCTGTGATTCTTTGAATGTAAACCTGTATAAATAATGTGGCTTTAACTAAGGCCACAGACACTCAGTTTAATGTACACTTCAGGAAACAGCTATGTTTTCTGCAGCGTCAGCAATGTGTCTTTGGTCCCCAGGTAGCATTGTAAATATACAAAATGCTAGTGCAAAAGTTGGCTGGTTTTCTACAGGCCCTTCTATGAATTATTTTGTCCAGGAATACCCTGACCCATTCATAAAAGGATCTTCAAAGTAAAATTACATTCTTTTTATTTTTTCCTCCTTTTTAAACAAAGTATCATTCAGTTTTCCAAACAAATGAACTATTCAGAAACAAAAATCTAACATCAAATTCTTACGCAAGGTTGCTTTTTAATAAAGCGTTTTACTTCTCTTTCAAATTGCATATATCTGACAAAATCTAACACTGAATTATTTTAAAGGCTTGTGCTTTAGAAATTAAGTGTGAGGACTCTTAACCTACCTGGCTTTTATTTATAAATTAACATTTACTCCCTGATCCTCCAGATTGCAATCTTGCATAGCAATGCATATGCTGAGGTAGGACTGCAGTGTGGAGACACAGGTATTGGCGCTGGGAGAGTGACAAAAGAGGGTTAGGGGAGGAGCTTCTCTTGCACAATTAATTACACAGCTCTGACTACTGAAGATGCACAGGACAAGGCAGACAGATAAAGAGAAACCTTCAGACAACCCTCTCCTCTGTGGTTGCCACTTGTAATGAGTCTAGAAAAAAGGCAGGGTACCAAGTATCAGTGACATCAACAAGCACATCACAGCAGGCTGTGGTCCTGGACTTCTGGGGCTGCTGGTGTTAGCGGATGTTCAAGCACTAGATATGACTTGGCAAAAGCCTCTCCAGCTACTGAGGAAGTTTAGAGACTAGGTATGAAGACATCTTGTGTGGAGTTAGCAGGATGAGGCTTCTCTTGTAAAGAATCGTAAAAATGGATAAATTGTTCAATTGGCATTGATTGTGTGTAAAGAACATGTGACTTTAATCAAATGATAAGGAGAAATAAGTTGCAGAAAGCTAATAAGACCTGAGCAGCAGCATCATGACAGTTAACTGGAGAGAGAAGATCCCTGAGAGCAAAACAAAACTGATTACCAGAAATGAAGGGTTTGTATCTTCCTAGGCAGCTCTCAAACTGGTCTGACAAAATGACTTTGGAAGGAGAAATTGTCTTGATAGAGGTCCTCATTAAACAGGCCTGCTGCACTGGCACCATTTCAGCAAGACCCTTTAAACAGATCAACTGATTTGGGAAGAACTTGTTTCTTTCTACCTGAATAGTGGGGAAAAATAAGGTACTAGCCAAAAATTAACTAGGATGAAAAAAAAGGATCTCAGGCAGTGATGGAAAAGATATCCTAGATTTGAGTTTAGGGTTTTTTTGGAGGGCACTGTTAGTTTGGTTGGGTTTTTTTGTTTAGCGCTTTTTTTTTTAAGAATTATGACTCTAAGTTAATCATCGCCATAAGGTGACAGTTTTTTACAGTCAGTTTAAATCTTCTACAGGCAAGGTTTTTTGTCTCTCAACTCTGTTTCCTCCCTAAGAACAACTGTCAGCATCTGTTGACATCATTACTAAAAAGGTCCAAGAGTAATTAATCCCTTACTTACTGGCTGCATTTAGCCATGCTCTAACCTATCCAACAGAATTCTAATACCCTGAGTGCCAAATGCCAGTCCAAGACATTACAGGAACAAGTAGTTACACCCCCAGTACAATACAGTGCTAGTGCCACTGTTCTCCCTGGATGACAGGAAAAGTACTCTTCATTTTCTTATGCTACAGGTAGTTTTTCTTGGAAAGAAACAGCCTGTGTCACCAGAAGACCACTACATAACGTATACTAAGTATACAATCCTCACTGCAAATAGACATCTCCAGCTTCCTGCAAATACATTTCCAAGGTGTATATGGCTGTAAATCTGAGTTCTGGGCCAAGGTAACTGAGGACTCAAAGCCAGAATCATTCATCATTCTGATGTCAAAGTTTATCATCCGTCATTCCCCAGGGGTGATCCTGTCTGTCATGACTGAGGGTGCAGGCTGGCTGTGAACATTCTCCAAGTCATAAATACTGCAAGCAAGCAAGTACCTACTACACTCTTCAGATACTTTTTTCTTCATATCATGACCACTTTGGGCTTTCAAATTTATACCACAGTGCAGCCTGCTTATTGTTTCACTTCTCCTCTGTGTACCTAGTTAAAATAACTTAGGCTGATCCAAATAAATCTCTTTCTTTTTGGATTTATACTTGTAGCTAAGTAGTCATTTGGTTATTTCACATTTCAAGGTTTTTCTCAGTCAGTCCCTCCAATTCACCAGTCATTTTGGTGGCTCAAGTTCAGTCCTTGCAGTTCTGCAACAGCTTGCATGTGTGTAAATGTTCATCCCAAATGCAAGCGCAGAAACTCCTGAATCTTTCCCCAGGAGTCTTCCTGTGCATGGGCATGTGCTTTGCTCTCTCCACCCCCCAGAACAGGCACCCCCAAAACACGATCCATAGCTACATGACAAAATGGAGTAGAAGGAGGATCAATTCGGTGACCTGCTCCTGGATAACTCAAAAGTTCAAAGTTCTCTTTCCCATGCTGGCGTAGACGCCTGATTGCCAGCTCAGCATATAAGGAGCTCTTCCACATACGATCATCTTCCCCTACCACTAAGAGAAAGTGTCCTTCTGCTTTTTCAATGGGGATCATGCAAGGAGAATTAGCAGGACTCATTGGATCCTCCAGAGCTTCAAAAATATCAAATACACCAGTGTCAGAGACACTGACTTTGTTCATATCAAAACGCAGCCCAGGCAGAGTCATCTCACCGTAATGGAGGTCTGCAACTGTGTTTGAACTACAGCCAGAGATGGAGACAGCAGCCACGACTTCTGGCAGGAATGTGATCATGGAGAGTGCTAATTCTGCCCCTTTTCCAGTCCCAATCACTCCAACTCCTGGTCCTTTCACCTTCAGATAAGATAGGGGGTGGAGAAGAGAGGAGGAAAAGAATAAAGGAAGTATGCATTATAATGCAATTAGCCACTAAGTGACTTTGGAGTTGTGTTATTAAAAAAGGGAAAGGTTAGGTTAATTATTGATGTGACCTGTTGGAAAGCTACAGCCTGGACCCAGGCTCCTCCCTTTGTTTACAGTCTTATTTTTTAAAGACATCAAGAGCTGTCAAACCCCACAGAAAATCTCAGAGACAGGCATAAGATGTACCATCACTTGATCCTCACCTGGGCCCTACTGCATATGTTGATAAAAATTTTTTCTCTTTTTCCCAAAACAGATAGCAAGAAATTCAAGCACGTGTTGTCTCAGGCAAAGAAAGTAACCTTAAAAATTGCATTTGAAGGATTAGTAAGTAGCATTTAATCTTGTCTTTTTCTAGCCTGGAAAGTAAAACTGAAAGCAACATCCCAAACCATCGAATCCATTCTTTCAATGACTGTTGAGCAGTTTTGTATCATCCTCTCTTAAACTAATTGCTTTTATTAAAAAAAAAAAAAATTATCACCACTGCTCCTGTTTGGAGGATATTCCAGCACTTCACCATCCTAATGATCAGCAGTCTTCTAGTTTCTAGCATGACTTTATTTAACAGACAGTTTGTGCTGGAATAAATTCACTCTCACAGTCATATGCATAGCCACCTATGCAGCGTCTACAATTTTCTCACTATTAGGCCTAAACCTGCCCAGCAGAAACTGATACTCAAAAAAACCCAACCAACCAAAAAAAAAAAAACAACAATCACCACCACCACTTGGGCATGACTGCTGAATCCTCCCTTGTCCCAAGAGATCTCTCATTACACTCACTTTTGGGTGACGCTGTAGGAATCTAGCTGCCTCCTCAAAGTACTCGAGTTTGAGTTCTTTCATGACCTTAGGAAGATCTTCAAAGTCAAAATATGGCAAAGAAAGAGCAGCAAAACCACGGGTAGCCAGGAGACCGGATCTAAGTTCAATCAAGCCTCCTTCATCACCATACATGTCAATCACTCCTGGAAAGGGGCCATCCCCTATATTAAAAAGAAGTGGTACAGAGGACAAGTTAACAAACAGGACACTAAAAACTATCTGGTGAAGAGTGAACAACAAAATACAGAATGCTTAAGACATTTGCTATTAATGCTCATTACTTTTCCATTTGCGCAGCAGAGATTAAGAGAACCAGCGCTGTATCCCATTTCAGCTATTTCAAACTAAGAACAGGCCTTTAAATTCCTGCAAAAATATGTGAAGTTAGACTTTTTTTTCTTTAAAAAAAATCAAAACCAACTGTTCTAAATGTATTTTTCAATGGTCTTAACCTCCTGCCTTCAGAACAATCATACCCTAAGTCTGCTATTTTCCCCACAAATATGTCACATCTTAATTAACAAAGTGCAAGCTCACGAGTAATGAGCAAAGAGCACTAATCCCTCAAAGTCAATTCTACAAAACTTATGTAAACTCTGGAATAAACTGCATTGAGCAAAGCACAGCAAAGAGACACCAATTGCTAAACAAAATCAACTGGACTTAACTAGTTCTATCTCAACATCAGCACTGTAACGCTTGGTAGGAGAACTGCTACTGCAGATGTGACCAGATGGAGGGTAAAACAGAGTTGTATGGGTGTGGTTACACATGCATGACTGATATACAGATAAACGTGACATACATGTGTACAATTTGTCCCACAAAACTACAGAAATAATCAGAACTGCAATTTTAAACAGCCATGTGTTTGCAGCCAAGGTTGTGTTGTATCATGTTTGTATTCCAAGCCAGCAGATCTTGGGTTAAAAGGTTAAGGATACCACCTCGTGGAGTTATAAAGACCCCAAGCAAGCAACTTCTTTTTTTTCTTTTTTTTTTCCCTGGCCACAAGATGTCACCTCTGATGTACCTGGATCCACCTCACTACATCTCACAAAAAGGACCCGCTTGTGCAAGAGAGTGCTAACTCTGACATTACCTGTATGCACTAAAGAAAAGATCTCTGACTTCAAAACACTTGAGAGAAGGAAGTTTTGGACAAGACATGCTAGATGGTGGAAACCTCCTAAATTAAAGGAAGTCAGAAAGGGACTGAACCATGCTTTTGTGTTCTCTCTCTTTCAGTTCTGATCTTTTTTTCATAGAAGTTCAATATTCTTGAGAGAAAATATGTTGAGATAAATTTATCATAATGCCATGATCAACAGGAACCTTCAGCTAACAGCAGTCAGCCTACATGGCTGGAAAATACGTAATTTATCACCCCTACCCAGAAAGCTTTCTAGCAAGAACATGTAATCAGAACACAGTCAAGCATGACTGTTTCTCTCATGAAGAGAAACTTAAACTTATGCAAGGATCCTGGACTGCCTCCCTGAGTGTCTACACATGCCCAAGTATAGTTTCTGTATAGCTCACTGAAAAGCAGGATAAAACACGATAGACAAATTTACTACCGTTTAAAACCAAAGAAACACATCTTAACTCTTATGCGCAAATTTAGAAATTTTTCATATTAAAATTACAGCATAAGCCCACTTACATCATTTCACTTTTACTAAGAATGGTTCACATTTAAGATTCCTATCTTAACAGTATTAACAGTTTTTGTCCCTGGAGCAAAGGAGGGTATGGTAGTAATGGTGTAACTGGATCCTCCATCACGAGGGATGCCAATATCATTTAAGCAATGATTCCAGACTTTTCCACACTATTACAATGCCAAACTTGCTAAAGTGGAAAATACAATTCTCTCTTGCAGATCTCTGGATTTCCACTGAGCTCAGCAGAAATCAAACTCATCTTCTAAGGCAGGATAGCAAAACAATCACGTCTCAGAAATGGAAAATCCAGCATGCTGACTAAACATCTGAAATTCAAAGTTCAATCTCTGTCGTTTTTTTCTTCAGTGAACTTTGGATCCATATCTAAACAGATAAAAAAAATATTGGTTTGGAAATTCACTGAAAATACTTAAATACCTAATACTGTAGTGATACTTACAGGAGCTGCTGAACCAAGTAGATTTAAATTAGAGGTAATGTGGAGGGCAGTTCCTGTAGCACAACAGTCAGGGACAAGAAGTTTAGATCATGGCTAAAGCATACAAACGACATCACTGTTTGTAAAGTTTTGTTTTCCAATACCAGTAGGAGCCCATCAGAATATCACATCTCATAAAGCACAACCATCCCACAAGCAGAACAGGCAAAACTTGCTGATAAATCTATTCTGCCTGTTTATCACAAAACTAACCCAATTACTAACTCAGTGTTGGCTCCAATGTAACAGAGGGGGAATAAGTGTATTTTCTAGAAGCTCTTCTATTGCTTTGCTTACTGGCATGTGTTTCACATAGAAGAAAAATGCCTCTGAGAGGGACATTCAGCAGAGTCTCACACAATGAAACGCACCAGCTTTTCTGAATGTTACATATTCTGGTAGACCAGAACAAACATCCAGCCTACTGAAAAACCGCAGGCAGAGCGCAGCGATGTAGTAAACTCTAGAACCCCTGTTCTCCTTTAGCTCCTTCCCGTCCCGCAAGAGCCGCCTGCCCCGTGCCGCAGAGAAGGATCAGGACACGCACAAGCCGGGCCTTGTCCCGACAAGCACTTGGGAGCGTTTCCGTAAGGTTTCGGGGAAAAAAACCGGCCACCTGTCTGCAGGAGGGCGTTCCGCTCATTGACAGAATACGGATTCCGCGGGTGGCATATGTATGTTTCTGTTTTGCGAGACTTTCCCTGCTCTGGTCAGAGAAACCGGGGGGTTCCACCGGCCCCGGAGCGAAGGCCTCCGGCCGGGACACTCACCCGGCGGCAGAAAGAGGGAGCCCCTTACGACTCCTTCCTTCAGCCGGATCCTTCGCACGCCGGGGGCCATGAACCACCTCTCCACCTCGGTCTTGGCCACCACTGGCCCGGGCATAGCGCCAGGCGGGCTGTGGCCCTGGTGGACCAACACCTCCACCTTCATCGGGGCGTCGGTGCTGCGGGGAACGAGCCGCTGGTACGGCCGCTCCATGGCGGCGGGGGCGAGGCTCCAGAAGAGCCCCATGGGCTCCACGCCGGTGTAGTCCCCGCCGTGGGAGGCGTCCGTGCCCAGGTGCAGCTCCCCGCGGCTGTCCGCTCGATAGTGCGCGCACGACTGGAAGAGGCAGCCGCGGTCACCGGCCGCCAGGGCCCGCAGAGTCACCGGCTGCCCCGGGCTCAGCCCCGCCACCCGCGTCTCCACCCGCTCGTCGGCCGGGCCGGCGGCGGGGGACACGGCCAGGCTGGCCGCCCGCCGGGACGGCCGGGCGCGCAGCAAGGCCCGCGGCGGGGCGGCGGCAGCGGCGGCGAGCGCTCTCCACATGGCGGCGGCGGCGGAAGCTGCGCGGAGCCACCGCGCCGCCCGCAATATCAGTACCGCGGCCACCGCCCCCTCCAGGCGGCCCCAATCGAGAGAAGAGCCCCTCCCCGGCGCCAGGAAAGGTGGATAGCTCCGGGCCGCTCCCACCTCTCCCAAATCATCCAAGCGACTGGAGCAGCCAGGCGGGGAAGGACCGCCAGCCGCGGGCCGCTCCAGTCTCCCCCAAGCCGTCCAACCGACTGGGGCAGCGAGCCGTGGGCAGTGGCTAAAGTTTCACTTTAAGCTATTACAAACACAGGGAATGCAAAAGCCCGCCTGACGCACGGGGAGCAGCCGAGGCTGGATGCGGCCCGCGCGCGCTGTCAGGCACTGGGGGGTGCAAAGCGTTCGGATACAGCAGCGCAAACTCGCCGGCAACATCCAGCGCCTTCTCCTCCAACCCTGCCCCTGGGTGCCGAATGTTACCGAGGATCTCCGGCGGGGCTGACAGCTCACCCCGCTGCCCCTGCTGCTCAGAGAGAACCAGACATGCGGCCGGAGCCTGGCTCCGGCACAGCACGGCAGCCGCTCCACCGCCCCTTCCAGCCCGCCTACCCCTGCACAGCACCCGGCGCCTCGTGGAGCCGCCGAGCCAGCCCCGCAGCCGGACTGTTTCCCGTAACTTTTGGAAGCAGGCGCTAAGGGAATGTACAGGCAGGAAGACGCTACCCTCCAACAGCGCTGCGAACCTAGACCGGATACCCAGCCCAGCTGAGGAGATGCCCGAGAGCGGCTCCAGGATGACTACCAACAGGGCCAGGTCTTTTGTTTTCTCATGCTTACAGACGTTCAAAAACTGTTAAAATGTCTCATTTCTACTGCATGTGCCCAGAATGTCACATCAGGCTAGGGGCTGTTGTTGTCTATGAACGGGAGATTTGCTACCTGAGGAGCAGACACATTATTGCTGCTTTTGCTAAGTGAATATTAGATTTTGTTAAAAATCTAATTTAGTGGTGTGAGAGAAGGGGAATGAGCAACACAGGAGAGGGACGTGCACAGGGAGAACAGAAAGAATACTGGAGGCAGGAAGAGAGAACTGCTGCTTCCAGAAAAACTAGAACACTGGAACGAGCACACAAAGCTGGCTCTGGTAAAGGCAATGGCATATGTTTCCTCTGAGAATGCCAAGGTACATTTTCACCCCAGTTCTCAGCTTAGATAAGTTACCTTCCACTTAATTTCACATTCAAAGAACACCCAGCCTTACCACATTTGTCTTCCACAACTTTTAATCCTATACTACACAAAGCAGGAGGCTAAGAACCTCTAATCAAGGTTAGAGGAGGGTGTAAAAACAAAGCAGCTTTTATGCTTTCACCCGCTGTCATCCTCCAAGAAACCCAATAGCTTATTCTCTGATGTTCCTTGTTCTCATTCTGAGCCATTTAACAAAGCAATCTTGAAACACCAGCATCTTCATCTGTAATCTACTTCACATCACAGATTACTGGATGTTCCAGATGGCTTGCCTGTGAGGTGTTTCCGGAAGAAAGCTTGGATCTGCTGCCAAGCATCTATCTGTGCCTCACAGTGTGCCTTGGGCTCCCCTCCCCACTCCACAGGTTTGCCAACTAGCAGGTGCATTGAGGCTGCACACATTGGGAAAAAGGGAGGTTCAATGTAGTGCCCTGCTCCAGGATAACAGACTATCTCAGGCTTTTCCTTCCCATGAGCTTGCAAACGTTTGCTCCCCTCAACTGCAAAGAATTCGCTTTTCCAGTTGCGATCATCCTGGCCAACAATGAACAAGAAGCGACACTCGGCCTTCTCCAAAGGGATAAAGCTTTGCTGGTCAGGCCCTTCTAGTGGGTTGTTCAATATATCAAAAATATCAGCAATCCCAGACTTGCCGACCTTGATGCGTTTCAAATTGATATTAAGAGGTGGAATGGTGATGTCCTTGTAGCGGAGCACTGCACCCACATTTGCCACTGAGCCGTTGATAAGGGCAGTGGCTGTGATGCCCTTTAGGAAGGAGGCCATGGAGGTGCACAGGTCACCACCCTTTGAGATTCCAAGCAACCCAATTCCTGGACCTTTAACCTGGAGGTGAGAGAAGAGAAACCACAAGCAATGAACCAAAGCATGCCACTTCTTTAAGATGTTGCCATGTTTGCAGCCGTGTCTGTCCCAAATTTGGACCCCAAGTACAGGCATCTAAGGTCCTGTTTGCAGGGCCCACATCTGAGGGACCCTAGGCACTGTTCTGTGCTTGATTTATGGTCCTAAGCCCTACTGGGACTGCAGCATCATCACCTAACAAAGCTACAGGGTTCAGTGCTGAAGCAGAGAATACAGTGTGTTTGCAGATGTGCAGTCCTAAATTCACTTTGCCTATAAGGCAGTTGAGAGAAGAAGAGGGAAGGAGAAGGGGAGGCTTCTTCTACAAATACTTTCTTTCAGTGCAAAATGCTCAGTCAGCAATGACTATGATATTGTCATCACTTATGATAATGTATTTCTTATACTCAACCACTGTCTTTGTTTTCCCTGTTAAGAAGATAACATGGAGTGGCAGGCTCCACATCAGCTGCTCTCCCTCTTCTCCGGTATGCTTGGTGTCTAACTCACAGGAAGCATTCTGAGGTACCTTACTCATTAAAATGTATCTTAAAAAAAATAACCCATTAAACCCATTTTTCTAAGAGAATTGTACAGTCCTCCGGAGTCAATCTAGAATAGGTTACCTTCATTTTCTTTTACACAAGGCAAATTAACTAGAATAGAAAAATTAAATGACCTTACAAAGTATTGAAAGCCTCCAAGGATATTGAAAGAAGGTTAGCTAATACCACAACTGCTTCAAAATCCAAAGACCCTTAGGAGCAAAAAGGCTCTGAGACAGCATCAAAATTTAGTATGTTTCGTATCTTATCACCAGTGTAATAGGCTCCAAACCCACTGACTTTGAAACATGGAAAGGGAGAAATTAGAAAATACAGCTGAAACTTTGCAACGCATTAAAAACATGATGAGGGTATCAGTGGAGGTGTTAATGGGAGGCAATAGTACTGCTCTCAGGGAAAAAAAAAAAAAGACAGGTGGAAGCAATTTTCAGATTTTTTTGGGCAGAGAGGTGGCATGAGCAGTTAAGGTTAAGGCATCTGAAAAGCAACCAAGTCCTTTAACATCTACTCATCTTTCTGAGGTTGAGGAAGGTATTTGTTTTCATTCTTCAGAGAAACCAAGTATTGCCTTGTGCAGTTCTAGCTATTGTCATGCACAGCTGCTTGCAAGGAGATGCAGAACCAAGCAGGTTCTGCTAAGGAGATTAGAAGGATCCCTAAGTGCACAAGCAGTTACTAAAACCCACACTCACCAAATAACAACATTTGGAGTGATTCTAACAGCGTATAAAAGCCACCAGTGTGCCTGTAACAAATGTGGATAGAGCCTTCCTAAATCTTCATTCGTGAAGCCTAGCCGTGATGATGAAAATACACAGCAACAAATGTGTACTGGTGGACTTCCTTGAGACTTGTATCACAGAAGGTTATCATGTGCTCCACAGCTGAAAAGGACATTAAGATCTGCAGGACATTCTACAGAGCATAAACCTAAAAGCCCTGCTGTAAGTCAAATAAGTCTCCAGGCAACTAGCGCCCTAGTTATGACACTGGGTTGAATGGAGTAGAAATTACCAGTATGTTACTTATGTGTCACTGTTTCTCCTGGCCACTTCAAAAGGAAGAATTGGAATAAGCTGCCAGAGAGCCATTGTAATGGGAATTAAAGATATCAAACAAATTAATCACAGCCAACTTAACAGTGATGCTATTTTAAATACAGCAGCTCTGCCCCATCTGCAGTCTGACAGGACCGAAATAATGAGAGTTCACTGTGGTGAGTCAATGAACAAACCAACCTGGGTGTGTTGTAACATATAGTTTACAGCTTCTTCAAAATATTCCAGGTGGAATTCCTTCATCTCTTTGGGGAGATCTTCATAGCTGTAGTAAGCCAGAGCCAGCACAGCAAAGCCATAGTTGGCCAGCAGGCATGCCCTGTATTCAGGGAGTCCTCCTCCAGTTCCATATAAGTCAATAATTCCCGGAAAGGGGCCATTTCCTGCGAGAGACAATATAACAGGACACATTAACCCACAATTCTTAAGTTATATGCCAATATCATAGGCCTGGGAATGTGTCTTTTTAAAAAAAGAAAAAAACCTAAAGCAGCAAAATGGTGTTAAGGGTCCTAAACTACTGTGCCAGTTTTAATTAAATGGCTACATTGCTTCAATATTAAACAAGCCAGCAAAAATTAGCAGGCCTGGTAATGTTCTGGATAACATCAGGGAACATGTGGCTGGAAGAGAATTGATCTTTTGACAGTCACAACTAGTTTCTGTATCATGTAAATTCACTGCAAAGCTATCAAGCTCTGAATTATACCCAGGAGGCTTTTCCTTGCTGCATTTCTCAGTATCAAAAAAAATCTCCTCTTCTGATGATTTCAGCTTCTCAGTTTCAGTGTAAATGTACTATGGCCATTTATTCTGGGATTAAGAGAAGAAAGTATCTGAAACTAACCTTGCTAACCTGGTAAGAGAACCTTTACATTAGGTTCATCAGGGGACAAGTCCAAAGCTGAGAGGGATTGCCACAAACTGTTAACAAAGTATGGAAAGGAGGAGGCCAAGAGGGAGACTCCCATTCCTGCTCAGGAGGGAAGGTGAGGCTTCCCTCAGGTGTCTGCAGACTAACATGGAGAACATGGGCAACAAGCAAGAAGAACAGGAAATTCACCTCCAGCCTCAAGGCTACAGCGCAGTCAGAGCCCAGGACACTGGCTGGGACAGCACGTATGATTTTAGCGCTGTCATGGAGGAGTTGCCAGGGACAGACAGGGAAGAAAGGGGAAAGCACATGATACATAGAGGAGCTCCTTGAGTACATGAGGTTCCAGAGACATGCTTGGTGAAAGCCTCTGAATCACAGGGGAAAGGAAAGCTGGGGTGTGGCAGTGGTGCAGCTGCTGCAAACCACTCAACCAAGGGAATGAGGTTTCCTACAGCCAACTAGCAGAAATCTGGACAGCTGCTGGGAGGACAACACAGCATTTGTCAGGCAATCTGAAAACCTCACAGACCATAGTAATGATTACTTTCTGACAAAAATACTGTAAGAGCAAACCTGTCTAATGCTTTCCTTAATCTTCTGCTCACAAACAAGGAAGAATTGGGGACAAATGTGGCAGCAAAAGGCAGCTTGGATTGCCTTGGGCTTCAGCAACTAGGATATAACTGAGTTCAGGATCTGTGGAGAGGCTGGAAAGGGAAGCAGCAGGCTTGAACGCTATAGTCTGGGAGGGCAACCTTCTACTTACTCAAAGAATTACTAGCTGAATTCCCTGGGAAACAGCCAGGTAGAGGAAAGGTATCTTGAAGACTGGCTGACACCACCACCCACAGCATTTGGGAACAAGAAGGGTATTGTGATAAATGCTTTCATGTCCAGTAAGAATCAATTAAATATACTCAAGTGTGCTTCAGCACATATAGCTGCTCTACGTAGTGAGCGTACCCAGCAGACCAAAGAGGGTTGGGCTGATCAGACCGCTCCTTGAGAAGTGTCTAGTGCCAGCTGGCAGGGCGAGGCTTCCCCTTGTCCTCAGAGGAAGCCTGGAAGGGGTCACGCTCCGGGCCTGGAAGCGCGGGGCCGAAAGCAGAGCAACACCAGTGGGAGAAGGAGCCCGGCACGGCCGGTACTCACCGGGGGGCAGAAAAAGCGTCGCCCGGATCCTCCCCTCTCGCACCGGGACTCTCCGCACCCCGTCCCGCAGGAACGCCCGCTCGTGCTGCGCCTGGGCCAGGAGCCGCCCTGGAGGCTTCCCGTGGCCCTCAAACACCTCCAGCTGCAGGAGGAAGGGGCTCTGAACGTCCCGCTTCACCAGCCGCCAGAAGGGCCTCTGGGGCTGCAAAGCCCAGAGCAGCCCCATGGGCTCCAGGCCAGAGAAGCTGCCTCCCGGCAGCGCAGGACAGCGGGCGAGGTCCAGCTCCCCGTCGTCCCCCGCCTGGTAGCGGGCACTGGCCTGGAAGAGCTCTCCCTTCTCATCCCGCAAGGATGTCCTCAGTGTGACCTGCTGCCGCGGGCCGAGGCCCTGCACAGCGATGGCCAGCGGCTCATCGAAGAGGCTGCGGGTGGCGGGCGAGAGGCGGATGGAGGGGGCCATGGAGGCGAGTCCACGGGCAGAGGCTGTCCCGGGGGTCCACGCGGGGCTGCGGCACCGTGGGGCTGCAGGCGCGGGGCCGGGCCAGGGCAGTCGCCTCTGCCAGCTACGGGAGCTGGCCCGGCGCAGGGAGCGGGCAGTGATCTGCCACATTGCCCCGGGTAGTTCCCGCCTCTGGGGGCGGATTCTGGGGCAGGTCCCCGCGGAACCGGAGTCGGGATCGATCCCGGAGTGCCGCTGTAAGACCCCGCGGGCAGGAGCGGGGCGGTAGGTCCCTCGCCCCGCCGGCCTGCTTCCCTGCCGCCCCGCCCGCCTACTCTTCCCCTCTCCTCTGTCTTCGACACCCCCCTTCCGGCTATGGGAGGGTTCTCTGTCAAACTCTGCCGAGTTCTTGCGACCTGTCCTGGCCCCAGAGAGCTCCTCAGTGTCCCCCCGAGCTCCCCTGGACCGGACGGTGGCTGCGGGCGAGGGGACACGCGGGGCGGGACGGGCAGAGGCGTTGACGAGCCACCGAGCAGAATCGCAGTCGGGATTCACCGTCCGGGCAGCGAAGGGCCTGTGTGGGACCGACCGCACAGAGATAGGGCAGCGCGGAGCTGTTGCTCGCCGGCAGCGACCCCGAGTAGGGCCGAACTGTGCTGTGCCGCTCGGCCGAGAGACCGGAGCGTGGGCCAGCCCCAGCCGGGGCGGGGAGAAGCCACACCAGCACCAGCCCGGCAGTGCTTCGCCTCTCCTTGCCGGTTCTGCCTCTGTATTAGTTGCCCCAAGGCATGGGCAAGGTGGCTTATGTCTCCACCAGGCTCTGCTCAGCCCTGGCAGCTGCACAGCCAGGTGAATTGGGAAGGATGGTTAGGATCATCAGTAGTGCAGGAGGGATGAAGAGGGAGTGCTTTCACAGACTCTTTAGGTAGGTCAGGAAATATCTGGCTCTTCTAGTAATGGATTTTGCAAGGTTTTAAAAAAGAAGGTCATTCAGTCCATCTTGCCCAGAGCTGGATCTTCTGATCCAAAAGGAGCTGCAGAGGGACAGCTGTTTCCTTAGGCTCCCAGAGTCTTCCTGGAGATGCAGGTAGGGGTGCCTCACACTCTGAACTCCTCATGTCTGACTTAGTGGTGTGAAACAAGTGGAAGCATCTGAGGGAATCCTGAGCATTGTCAGAGGTGTTGGACAGAGTCTCAGCAGTCTTTCCTTCCCTGTGGAGATTACCCATTCTCTCCTAAACAGATGAGGTGCTTTGTCATCTAGGATTTGGGCATGTTGTCTGGTGTTTAGCCCTCAATGTGTGGAAACTACTCCTGTTGTTGAGAAGAACAATCCTTGGTTTACAGTACTGGATTTGATCACCAGCTTGACCATAGGCTGGAGCAGATGCTAAGGGAAAAGGTCCTGGAGGCTTCAGCAACATTCCTTCTCCTCTATGCTTGGTGACACAAGAGGAGTGGAAGAGTGAAGGTAAGAGGGCTATCTTCTATGGTGTCCTGTTCCTACCTGGGCAGCCCTTGATCCCAAGCTTCTGCAATCCCAAGGTTTCACCCTGGGATGAGAGAGTGGTCAAGTTGCAAACCCTGCTTCTAACCAAAGCAGAACAAATGACTCCATGGCTTTCAAATCTCAGTCCTTTATTACAATTCTCAACCCAATAACAAAGATTAAAATGTTCCACATCATGTGGGAGAAGATCACAATGATTGTAAATTCAGCAGGAAGTTTTTTACATTACATCTTGGAGCCAGAAGTATCCACTAGCCAGAACACAGCATTGTGAAGGGAAGATGGAAGAAGGCAAACAACCTTCCCCAAGGGTAAACCAGAAACAGCCCAGCAACCTGGCTATAGCATCCATTTTTGCACACTCCCAGCAGCACAGAGATCAGAGACATTTCCATTTGCAATGAGACATTCACCATAACAACAGTGAAATCCCTGCTCCAAAACTGTTATCTGGGAGGTGTTGCTTTCAAGTATGAGCTGAGGATAGCGTGTACATGTAGAGACCACAGTGATATGGAAAGTACTGTCAAGAATGCATTAGGAGAATAGAACCCCCCCCAAGAAACATAACAGCGCATTTGGCACATGAGGTGTTTTATAAAAGGCAAAAAATGCCATGCATTTTCTTGACACTTGAACAAAAAGGTTCAGGGAAGAAGAGAAAAGGCAACCCCCTTTCTTTTCTGAGTCATGGATGCCTAAAGTCATGGAAGATACTGTAGTTGTACAGGTGAGACAAGCTGTTAGATTGATAACTGTAACAGAATTTATCAGATCTGGTTGTTCAAAGTTGTGTGTTGCTTGCACATCACTTGTTGCACATTACTTGTCATTTAAATATTTCTGGAAAAAAGCCTGGATCTGTGGCCAAGCATGAACCTGAGCTTTAGAATAAGTCCCGAACTCCTCACCCAGGACTGCCCGCTTGTGAAAAATGGGATGGTTTCCTATGGGGTACAAAGGGAAAAAGGTAGGGTCTATGCAGTGCCCTGTTCCAGGGTAGGAGAGAATCTGAAAATTTTCCTTCCCTTGAGCCTGCAAAAGCTTGCAGACTTCAGTAGCATAATACTTTCTTTTGACAACATGGTCATCTTGTCCCGTGATGAATAGTAGCTGTGCCTCAGCTTTCTCTACTGGGATCAGGCTTCGGTTGCCAGGGGCTTGAAAAGGGTCAATAAGGACATCAGAACAATCAAGAATATTGGAATCGGTGACCTTGATATGTTGTTCATATGTGGTCAAAATGGGGATGGTTTTATCCTTGTAACAGAGAGGAATAAATGTAGCAGCCACAGGGCCATTGAGGGAAGCAAATGGCTGTGATGTTCTTCAGGAAGGCAGCCATGGCGAGAGACAGTTCATCTCCTTTGGAGTAACCAAGCAGGCCCCTTCACCTGGCACATGGGAGGAAATGCTCATCAGTACTGAGCTGAAAAGCATGACAGCTGGTTCATGGAGGAGAACATTGTCTAATGCTGAGAATTTGCAAAACTGCATGAAGAAAGTGATGGCAATGATTAGTTTTTCTTCTGGACAAATAACAGGAACCTCCTACGCACAAATTGTTTCCATTCCCATGCAAAATGTTCCTTGATGATAGCCAAGAGAGAGCAAGCATAATGATACCATTTGAGCGCTGGTTGCAAAACAAAAGTAAGGCTATCCAGAGCTATGGTGGAAAGGTTTTGGTAGTGGGAAGCTGTGGTCTGTGAGAAGAGACCAGGGCTTCCCCCATATTGGACAGGGACAGTTTTAGCCAGCTCAGACAGACTTAATGCTGCCCAAAGATGGGGAGGAGGTGTTTTTAGTTTTGTTCTTATTTCTCACTGTGCTACTCTGTTATTAGCTGGCAATAAATTAAATTAATCTTCTCTAAGTCAAGTCTGTTTTGCCCATGGTGTTAGTTGATGAATTACACCCCATCCTTATCTTGAGCCATGAGGTTTTTCATCTTAGTTTCTTCACCTCTCCCTGAGAGTGGCTAGGTGGGTATCCAGCAGCCAGCTGAGGTCAGCTTACCACAGTTAGCTAAGGGTAAAGCCTTTTTTCTTTACCTTTCTTAGACTAAGGGGTCATATGGGGGCATGTGATGACAATTCATGAAGGCTGCTTCAAAAAATGCATGTTTCTCTTCTCCACTTTTGCCCACCTTGTTATGTCTCAGACACCATCTCTGGCACTCCAGATGATGGCACCTGAATAGAACCTCATCCTCTACCCTTCCAGTGCATATCTGTTTGATCCTTCCCCTTTCCTAGGTGAGCATTCTGGTAGATGCTAGCCATGCCAGGTGAGTATTTGTACAGCTTTCCCCAGAGATAACTCTGGCAGAGTGACAGGCACATCAAAGTGGCTGCAGGCGGCAGGCGAGAGGCATATGGAAGGGGCCAGGGATGATAAGTGAGTGATGTGGAAATGCTGGATAGGAGAAACCTTGTCTGCCATGACCACAACCATGCTCAGCAAAGAAGGCTGGGAGCAATTTGCAGCTTCTGTGATCCACTCAGCTGCATCATGACTGTATTTAAGCTGGATGTTCTGGCTTCTTGTGCCTGGGCAGCCAGTCATGGAGTGCTGCCTCCTCCTCCTGCCCAGGTGGGACTCCCCACTTTCTGTGCCCCGTGTGGTTATCGTGAAGCCAATGGTCCTTGTATCTTTCAAAAAGATGCTGTACCAATGCCCCAAGGGGCTGATTACAAAAGCAAATAAAAGCCGGCTCTCTCACAGCTTTTCTGTCCTGCACAGCTCCTCTTGGAAAAGTTGCTGGATGTGCTCCCTGTACCTTCGTTTGTGTTTCTGTGCTGTTTGGAACCGTGTGAGGGAACTCTCAGCACGGTCCTTGCCTTGCCTTGCCTTACAGCATGCAGAACATTCCCCTCCAATAGCCATGGTGTAGCCTCTGGAGGACACAACACTGCCCTGTGCCTTTGATGCTTGTGCTGTGCTGTGCTGCACTGTCCTTACAATGTGGCCTTCAGGCCTGTGTTGTGCTGCACAGATTCCAAGCCTTATGGGAAACTCAGCCATCTCTTCCTTACACAGAAGCTCACAGGCAGCTTCCGGTCAGTACCTGTGGTTACATGACCTGCGTGGCCCTGCCCTTGTCAAACAGTGCAGCAAGATATTCCCATGCAAACATTGTCTCTCTTTGACTGTAGATGTGATAAATAGAGCTGTTTCCTTATACAAAAATCTTACAATACCCTAAAAGACTGAAAGGGGAGAATCTGCTATGGACCATGTCTGCGTGATATGCTGTATGTGGGGTGGAGTCCTGTCACATGCTTCATTGCTCAGGGTTCTCAGCATCTAAAGGGGTGTAAGATTATCTATACTAGTCTCTTTTTAGAGTGTTAGCTCTAATAAATAGCATTTTTAGATACTTTACAGAATGTGAGTGCTTTTCTTACAAAAGTGCTTTTCTGGGATCATAATGGACCAGCACCTCCCAGTGCAACTTCTCACCAGTCTTAGTGAGAAATACCTTTATGGAGAAAGAACCAAGAAAAAAAGAGAAACTCTGTGCCTGGCTAGCCCTGCGTAAAACCATGAGGGGTATGTGTAAGGTGTTTAGCCCAGGCAGTTTCCTTAGTAGATTCAGAAGCTGGGGAGGAATTATCAGAATTCTCATCCCAGCTGAAGTATTATGTTGTTTTAGGAGACAGGGTCCAGGGAAAGGAAAAGCTAAGGAAAATTTGTGCCATCTTTGATTGTCATTAATGTACTTGAAATGGACATGAGGGTGCTTATAACCATCATAGGAAGGGCTGCATGAGCTCCTGGTACAGCACTGCACCGCAAGCCCCCAAGCAGCAAACTGCAGTGCAGGTGCCCGTGGTTGCACAGGGGCCACACAGAGCAGCCCAGGAACTGGGCATGAGATATTTACCAGGGGCATGAATGGTGGGACAAGGATGGCTGACCCTCTGCTAAGGATGACAAAAGGGTCAGAGGACATGTGACAACAGCATTTCTGTTCAGCCACTAGTGATTTATAGATCAAAGAGGGCTGCAGGGCACCTCAGCACGCTCTCGTGCTGTGCAGTTTTACACAGCCCGAGTTTCAAGATTTAGCAAATGCACATAGGCAAAAGAGGGAGGAAAGACTGGCACGCTGGCTTTTGCAAGTATGGGACCTTGGAGGACATAGCGTACACTTAAATCCTAACCAGTTAAATGTGCATGTGTGCCATCTTGCAAAACCCTGATGATCCAACAGCTCAGAGGACCCCAGGGTAATACACCCTGCTCCTTGTGGATATAGCTTCAGGAGGCTTTGAAGACAGAATATTCCTCACCTGCTGACTGCTATGATCAAATAGCATTGCGGAAAAGCATATTAGAGGTTTGTCAGTATGGAAAGTGGCCACAGAGCCAGGCATGTGTTCATGTAATTTGATAGGTCCTTAAATGAAACTTTTTTCACCTAGCACAAAAAAGCCATATTAGAGGGTGCCCCATTTGCTTTGAAATGACCAATAATTTCATTGCTAGGGGCTGCTGTGGGAAAACCAGTAGGGGAGGTTATTTTATCACTAAGACACCTTGCAGACTGAAGAAGATGCAAGTGAGCCTGATATATTTCAAATGCAGCAGATCATGTTTGCTTGAGGACATCTTGCTGCACTGTGTGATAAGGGCAGGCTCACGTAGGTAATGTAATTGCTGGAACTGAGTGGGAGCTGCCCACAAGCTCCACTTCCAAGAAGAGCTGGACAAATTTTTTCTGTGACCAAGGGATCTTTACAACACAGCATAGGCCTGAAGGCCTACACAGCATGGCACAGCACAGGCACACAGAATGCTGACCATCGCCAAATCTGCCTGTGAATAACAAGAGTACTTCCCACAGCAGAGCAGGCTGCTTTAAAATACTGTGAAAATACAGAGATGATTTACAGACTGCAAGAAAGGTCACTAGGTTCCTGAAGTTACCTAGGGTGTAGTAACATGCCTGTAACACCTAGGGTGTAGTAACATTTTCCCTTCTCTAGTCACTCAGCCAGTCTGCTCCTAGAGCAGATACCCATTGTAATCAGAACATTTCCCTACCCATACCATAGCCCTTTTGCCCCCAGATGAGATGCAGGGACCTAGACTGCTGATTCACATCTAGCAGGTGTAAGGCAAGACCAAGACAGAACACTTCCTAAACAAATGTATGTTTATTTTCTTAAAAAATAAGAGTTACACTTGCACCAGAGGCTTCTTCGTAGTCAGAATGCCCTTCTCAAACAGGAGTGTGGCTAGAGAAATCCTCTCCTCCAAGGTTTCACATGGAAGGTTACCCACACGGATGTGATTTGGATAGGAAGACAGCAGAAATTCGATACTGTCTGTATACTCGGGATCTAGCTCAAAGAACTTGGGTTCTTCTTTGTGATACACTCTTGAGTTTTCTGTCGTGTAATACAGCATCACACCTGCTTCTTCATTACATAATCTAACAATGCCATGGCGGAGGAGGCGTATTTCGGTGTCTTTTGTTATCTGTATATCAACATTGTGAGGGCCTCCATCTTGCCACTGGGCTGGGAAGCCATAGATACTTTGCGCCTTTTCACTCTGGGTAAGCACAGGGGGCAGACAGTCATGAAGAAATGACCTGGCCATCTGATCCACAGCAGCATCAATGGGTGCATAGTCAATGAGTTTCTTTATCAGGCTCTGCACCTTCTCCATAAAGGCTGTTCGCCGAGCATCAGCTGCGTCTGAGTTGGCAACCCCCATGTACCCCAGGTAGTCCATGGGAAGCCCTCGCCGGTACTCCACATCCTCCTCCAGGGCCATCTCTAGGGCAGCTGGGAGGAGCTTCTCCAGAAAGTCCCCCCAGGAATTCCTCTGGTAGGAAGACACAGTGATGTGGAGCGAGTGTGCATCAGGGAGACAGTCGCCCTGGTGGATATAGCCACGGGGGAAGTACAGCAGGTCCCCGGCCTCAAGCACCGTCTCCAGCACAGGCTCACCGAGCTCAGCCTGTGTTAGGTTTGAACTGGAGAACTGGGGCAGCACCTCGGCATCCGTCCGGGGGCTGTAGACGCGCCAGTGCTTCTTCCCCTCCAGCTGCAGCACAAAGGCCTCGATGTCATCGTAGTGGGGGGCGAAGCCCTGTGTCCCTGGTGGCGTGAGGTATGTGTTGGCTCCCACCATGCTGCCAAACTGCTCCTGCAGGATGGAGAGGAAGTGCCAGACGGTGGGGGAGAAAGCCTGTGGGCAGAGGAGCCGCAGGGAGCAGCCGTTCTGGTAGAAGTCCCAGACGACGGCAGGCAGGGCCCGGCCCGAGGGATTGTGCGTTTCCCGCACGCCCTCGGCGTAGCTGGTCACGTCCAGGTGGGTGCCGAAGTGCACTTCGCCGTCCCGAAGGGCCGCGTCCAAGTCGGCCGTGGAAAAGAGCCCCGCGTAGTACCTGGGGTCGCCTCGCCGCACCAGCAGCGGCGCCCGCTCCCAGTGCTGCCCCAGGAACTCGCCCGGCGCCACGGGGGCCAGCAGCCAGCGGAACAGCTCTGCCGCCCGCTGCCGGCTGTCCTCCAGCCGCCCCAGCCGCCGCAGCAGCCCCGACACGCCACCGCCGTCCTCCCCCGCCGCCCGCGGGCCACCCGGGATGGTCGCGGGGCCGCCCCGCGGCTTCTCCTCAGGCCCAGCGGCCGCCCACCCGGGCTGGGGCTCCACGCGGACCTCCACCGGGAGCTCCACGCGGCTTGAGGGCGCGGCGGGCGGCGAGGCCGGCCGAGGCGGGGCCTCCGGCTCCGGGCCGCCGCCTCCCGCTCGGCCGCGCCTCGCCCGGGCCCTGGCCCGCTTGCGGCTCGCGGGCAGCTGCGCCCCGCGGCGGCGCCGCTCCAGCCGCCCGGCCCCCGCTACCCGGCGGTACACGGCGAGCGCCGACAGCCGCCCCAGCTCCCGCTGCTCCGCCGCCATGGCCGCCAAGGCCCCGCCGCATCCGCCGGAAGCGCCCCGGGCACGGGATGTCGCCGGGCTCGGAGCCCGCACGCCTGCCCCCGGAAGGGCATTTCCCGAGTGTGCTTGTGGTGCTGCGCGGGACGTATCTTGTGTTCTGTCATCACGTCCGCTTAAAATGTGCCGGGCGTATTTGCTTCCCCCCGCCCGAAAAAGGAAAGGAGAGACGAATCCCCTGGGAACCGATGCAGGCAGATCTGTTCCTTGTCTGGGAAGCTTCGCTCCGGACGTGTGCTCTAAGCACGTTCATAAAGTTATTTTTCTCCGAAGGCGTAACGTAAGGATATACTTTTGGACTGCCTGCAATTACTTTGCAGCTTAATGAGGCGAGACGAGGTAAAACCGATTTCATAAGGTTCTGTTGTGCAAGGAATAGAAATCCCAGTTGGATGGAGCCAGTTCTGGTGTACCATCCCTCCTCCCCCTTTCTTGTGCTTCTAATGGTGATGACACGTTTTGGGGTTTTTTCCAAATCCACTAACTGCCTAATAAGATGGGCAGACCTTCGTTCCCTCTCCATCTCTCTCCTAGCCTGAAGCTTCATAGAAAGACAACGTTAGTGGTGCTGTAGGTACCTGGACAGCCTGAGGGCTGCTCTGTTCTTCCAGAGACTGCAGCTTCAGCACAGGAAGCTTTGCTGGAGGGTAGAGGACAGACCAGCAAGACTCTGATTGTGGCAAATGTGAAAAACTGTAGAGGTTTGTATTGTCAGACTGTGTTGATGCTCTTCTGATCAAGAAAAGCTTCAGTACAAGAAATTCACACTTCAGTACTTTTGTGAGAAGAATCTGTTATGGACTGCAGTAATTCATGGGAATGAATTTTGCATGAGAATTTCATCTCCAGAGGCTGCTGTGAGTCTAAAGCATTTAACTGGAGCAATTACCCAAGTGTGCCCAGAAACCCTCTGGTTCACAGGGTGTTATTAACCTCTCACAGATATGAATATCAGCTGCACAGAATATGTGAAACAGCTAACATTCACAAGGCATATGCAGATCTGCTGTGTGGGCTACTGAGTGTACCAGGCATAGGATGCAAAGCTGAAAAGAGAACTTTCACCTCTAGACAGGGTTTCAATCCAGACCTACATTTCAATTTTACCACAATTCAGGAGCAGAAATCAGTTAGGCCTAATGAGGATAAGTTCAGCTGTTAAGTCTCAAATTCTAGAACGTGCAGATATCTTAAAATTGCCTGTTGCTTGAATCGCCTTAAAACCAACACAAATCAGGCTCAGATCCCAGCACTGAGCTGTAAGCAACAAAGACCCTTCTTGCATATATGCAGTAACAACTATTTTCATTTTGGAGGTATTTTTCTGACAGAGTTCATCGGGCACAACCTTTGCAGCCAAAGTTGCGGGAAGAGCAACAGCAGAAGACTGTCCTGTTTGTACCACGATGGTTTTCATTAAAGGAGACAGATTTTAGGCGTGCGTAAGCAACACTTCAGCCTCCCATTTCACGTCTGGACCGTTTTTGGCTTTGCCAGCAGGTGGCAGAGGCCGATCAGCGCTCTGCACCCCTGCGGTGGGAAACACGCATGGAAGAGGATACCGTATTTCCTGTCAAGAGGACTGGCGTGGATGAGGTTTAAAACGAGAGGAGAGTGCAAGCAGCCTGTGCATTCATGTGTAGACTGGAAGAGAAGGGAAGGGCGAACTCTCTATTTCAATCCATTCTTTGTTTTCCCAAGGTTAAGCCCTGATTACCGAAATAATCTTATCAGCTGAAACCGTTTCAACAGAACTGGGCCCTTAACAAAATCGAGATGCAAGCGCTTTGAAATATGGTAGAAGTTAGGCCATTGCATGCTTTAGTTCTGTGTAAGCATGGCTAAATAGGTTTGGGAGGGGGAAGAATTTTGAAAAACCTAGGCATCTGGATTGTTATTTGTGTTACCGTGTAATTTACTGGAGTGCAACTGATCCTTCTCAGAAGCAGCCGGGCACTGTAAACAGAGCCTGACCTGAGTTACACCAGAATATCTGTAATGACTGCAGCAAAGCTGTCCTGGATGTTTACCAGTACAGGGGGGGTTCACAGTCTTATTCAATGGCTCTGATCTTCATATGCATGTCACTTTCTACTGCTGAGAGGCAGTTGATATTGGATTCTTTTTTATGTATAACAAAGTCTCTGAGTGAAGAAACACAGTGGAAAATAATGGTGGTGAAATCTCTATGACAATAAAGTGTTTCTTTTGTCAATTTAGACTTTCTAAGAATAAATGCTTTCAGAAATAAAGAATGTTGCTATTTTTCCATGTGACACAAGAAAGGGTTTTGACCTAGGGCAAAAAGAGAGAGCTTCAGTATCACTCACAGAGTACTCAGATGGTTGTCTAGGAGTAGCCACAAGGTCTACAT